AAGACCTTTGACCCTTTGCATCAACCTGCAAAGCCGAAAAATTGAAAAATGTATATGCATTTGTGAAAAATGTTATAAATGTTGTAAATTGAGGATGCTTTCACAAATAATGTCGTAAATAAATTATGGATTTTTATTAAATAATGTCATGAATACATTTTTTTATTATTATTTTAGATTTTATTATTTAGATTTTCAGGTAGATTTCTCCGAGTGTATTGGAGATGTTGGCACAGGATTTAGTCTCTCTCCATTTTTTTTCTCTTTATGCAATCCCAGATGGACTAGATGATGGTGAGATTAGATCTGTGTGTGAATCATATGATTTCGGACTCCCTGTGCATACAAAAATCCATCCATCCATCCATCTCACTTGTCCTAGGGCTGTACGAATACTGGAGCCTACAGATGGCCAGTCCATCACAGGGATAATCTCTCTGGACTATTACAATTAATGGTAAAAATCAATGTTAACTGATATTTCTTACTGGCACAATAAAGCTAAATATAAATAATACATATATAAATAATGGTCTTGAAATTTGGGTGAAGAATCTAATGTGCCTTTTGCACAGTACAATTCTGTATATTAACAACATTTACTGTAACGGCATTTTCAGTGTAACTAATTGTCTTACACTTACATATAGTGTAAAGATTAATTAAATGATTTGACATTACCTTATAAAGCACACGTTGTCCCTTATTTGGTTTTGTCACTGCCACTCTCCAACTCACTCCTGATGATTCACTAAGCTTTTTCACCCATTCTTTTACTTCACAAATCTCTGTCAACGCAATTCTTAGTGATGCCTCAAAACTTGTGTGGTCCAGGTGTGAATCACCTTGTGTAGTGCACAAACGATAGGTGCAGAAGTGATATTTATACCCAGGAGGCAACCAGTTCTGTAAAAGTAAAAAGAAGTCACCGCTCACCGGACAGAAAATCGCCCATTAGCATTATAACTGAGATGGCCCAACGTTTAGACACATAACAGTAAACCAAGTTTATAAAAAAAAAATAATAATAATAATAATTATATATATATAATATATATACACACACTACTGTGCAAAAGTCTTAGACCACTAGTATTTTCACCAACAAAAAATGGTTTTAAGTCAGTTATTTCTATCTTTTGCTGTAGTGTGTCAGTAGGAAATATCAGTTTACATTTCCAAACATTCATTTTGCCATTAATTGTAATAATGCAGTGAGATTTTTGTCTGACAACAGCCAGTGCTCCACAGAGAGATCTGATCTGATCATCGTCAGTCTGTCTGGAGTCACATGAAGAAACAGAACAAACTGAGACAGACTCAATCCAGAAAAACTGATGCTTCAAGATGCTTTAAAAAACCTTCCTGCAAAGCTACCTGAAAAGCTATGTGCAAGTGCACCGAGGACAAAAGCTGCTTTAAATGCAAAGGGTGCTCACACTAAATGTTGATTTGATTAAGTTAATTGATAAAGAAAATCTATTTATCACAATATTTTTGAAAGCATCCTCACTTTTAAGACTTTTAACAGCACTGTAGTTTTGCAGGTAGGTTTTTTAAAGCATCTTGAAGACACAGTTCTTCTGGATTGAGTCTGTCTCAGTTTGTTCTGTTTCTTCATGTGACTCCAGACAGACTGATGAGGATCAGATCAGATCTCCGTTTGGAGCACAAAAATCTCACTGCATTATTACAATTAATGGCTAGATGATTGTTTGGAAATGTGAACTGATATTTCCTACTGACACACTACAGCAAAA